AAAAAAAAAAAAAACATACTTTGGTCCTCAACAAATAAAAGAAAACGCCTATATACGATCCCCATTCATTTTCTCTAGGACGCAATGTCATCCATACTATGATACTGTTCCTTTTAAAGGATTGATGCAAAATAACATCAAAAAGAAACAATACTAAAAAAAAAAAAAAAACACTCTACGAATTCTACTAAAGCAACACTTCCCTCCAAGCCTTTTTTTTCAAGAGAGGGTATGACGGAGAGTAAATATAAACATTTTCCCGCCACCATAGATTTGCTAATTTGCTCTTTATTATTATTCTTAAGACGTCCCAACGGGAAATCCAAACAATAAGAAAATACCATCTATTGTCCAGCATTAGTAGCCATCAGAACATCAACACAATGAAGATTCTCTGGAGCAGTTACCTCAACTCTCCTTAAAAGTTCACAAAAGCGCAACTTTTCATCCTCAATTTCTGCTTCAGTCGGAACTGTAAGCTTACCGAAATCGTCACTCTGCATAATAACTTCAACTTGAGCTGCTCTTTGTGCATCCTTTGTGCCAGGATTTTGAGCAACGATAGCGATACGTTGCCGAGGGACTCCACGATGTAATGTAGCCATCGCAAAAGATGCATCCCCAATATGATATTCACGTGAACTACTCTTCGCTCTGTAAAAAACATGAAGAGTAATCACATCCTGATCAGGTTGAGCAAGGTAAAAGACAAAGGTCTCATCAAATCGTATTACAGATGCCAACTCTTTAACAGATGTCTTATATTTTTCTTTTACTGATTTGACTTTTATAATAATATATCCAGGTTCAGTAATAGGTTTTCCATTTCTCATAACATCTGAAAGTTCCACAATAGTGACAGCAAGATGGGCTCCGTCAGCAACTACAGTCCTTCTTCTTTCTTCAGACATTTGAGTAGACGGTTGAGAAAAAACCAAATGTTCCATAGAACGACGGTTAACACTGCCTCGTGGAGTTCTTGGAGAACGACCACTTGATGGACGTTTTTGAGATTCTTGTTTTTCATCTTGAAGTGCAAGAAGTTGTTTCCATAACCCATCATTTGCGTTCCTCAAATTAGCCAGTTGATCATTCAAATCTTGAAGTTTTTTATCCTTTGATTTTGAAAGACCATTAATATCGGCTTCTTTTTGTGCAACTGCAGATTCAAGCATTTTCACTCGTTTTTCCATATCGCTTTCTTTAGGATTTTCTTGTTCTCTTCCCATATTTCGTTCTGCATCTTTTAGACGTTCTTCCAAAAGATTCAAACGATCTTGAAGACCTTGAATTTTATTTTCCTTGGACTTATTATCTTGTTGCAAAAAATCAATTTGATCATTCAGTCGATCTATTTCAGATTGATAACGATACAAGTCTCTTTGACGTTGTTCATCGTCTTTGGCACTTTGATCACCATTCCCAACAATTGATTGATTATCTGGAAATTGTTGAAAAGAAGCTTTCTGTAGTTGTCTTTTAAACTCTTCTTCATTTGCCCATGCAGCTTCAAGAAGTTTCATAATATCTTCGACACAATCCATCTTATCTTTTGATAATTTATCAACAACAATAACAGAATCAAAGTTACCCTTGTTTCTTAAATTCTTTTCATTTTCTTTCCACAACATTTCATGTCGTTCTTGTGGACGCTCAGTATTTGAAACTTTTCCGGAATTACGTGCAGATGCAAGCTGTTTCATAATATCATTTTGTCGAAGAAGTTCAGCAATTTGTCCTTGTTGCTCATTTTGGCGAATATTATAAGCAGCGAGCTGTTGTTCATGTCCAGCTTTTAACTGCGAAATCTCTTCCTCATACTTCAATAAAATAGAACGTAATTCCTTATTTTCTTCTAAAATCATTTTTTTTTCTTCATCATCAAGAAATTCATTATTTTTTTCTCTTTCCAACTTAACAATTTTAGGAGGAACAGATCCTTTTGGTGCAGAAACTAATAGCACTTCAAGTTCTTTAACGCGAACCTCAAGTTCATTTGCTCGCTCCTCAAGATGAGAATTTATCTCTTGTAAATGCTCAATTTCTTCTTGTAGTCTCTCATTTTCATTAGTGGAATCCATATATTTCTTGTTCAAATTTCGATTCATTGTTTCAAGTGCTTCAATTTTTCCTTCCTTTGACTTTAAATCTGCTTCAACTTCATTCATATCATCTTCAACGTCGTCTGCTATTAATTCTTCCATAGGAAGAGTCAAAATTGCACGACTTGGTCGTCGTTCCCCTCGAAAAGCTGTTACTTCTTGTTTAAAAGAGTCCAATTGATCTTGAAATACACGATATACATCTTTACCATCTTGATCTTTTACCTTGAGTGAATCTATTTCATTTTGAAGTGATGTTTCAATTTCTTTCCATTCTCGTTCTTTTGCTCGAAAACGTTCCTCTGAAAGACGCAATTTATTCTCAAGTTCAGCAATATCTTCTTTAAGAAGTTCTTCCTGAAGATTTCTTTCATTTCCACGATCCTTAATTTCACGAGTTTCTCGTTGTTGTGTAGCTCCATCAAGACGTTGTACTGAAGCAAGTAAGTCTTCATAATCTTGCGAATATCGCGCCTTTTCATTTTCCCAGCTTTCTTTAGCAAGTGAAAATTGATTTTGCTCTTCACGCAATCGCTCCTCAATTTCACCATTTCGTTTCTTTAAAAGTGACAATTGAGTTTCATTTTTTTCTTGTAATTCAAGGAGAGCCTTACATTTCTGATCAAGTTGTTGTTCACGTTGATTTGCCTTAATAAGTGATGCACGAAGTTCCTGATTATCATTCTGATATCGGTGGTTTTCCTCTATTAGCTTCATTGCTTCTGGTCGAATGGCCGAGGAGTTTCCAGTTCCCAATTCCCCTGATTTTAGTTGCATAAGAAGATCGTTGTTTTCTTCCTCAAGGAGTCTTGCATTTCGATTAGCCAGGGTGAGTTTTTCTTCAACATCGTCCATCTCCTTTAGTTGACTCTTCAAATCCCTGATAAGCGATTCTTGTTCATACTCATTAAGTTCTTTTGTAGCAAGTTGTTCCTTCAACTGGTCACACAAATGTGTAAGTTCATCTACTTTTTTCTTATAATCCATCCTTTACCCCTGTAAGAAATCGGTAGAGCCTATGAACTCTTCTTTTCTTTATTTTTTTTCGTTTATTATTATTGTTTTTTTTTTTTTGTTCCTCTTTCTATTTTGAAATTCCTTACTTATTTTACGCTTAAAGGCAAAGCAAAAGAAAATGAGAACAGAAAGAAAGTAAAACCTCAAAAAAGAAGAAAAACATAGAAATCCACTTCAGTCCTCCAGAAAAAAAAAAAAAAAAAAAAACGCCAGGAGGGAGCGACGACCCCGGTGCAGAAGAATGGACCGTCTGGGGCGAGGGCCCGTAGGCCACCAAAAATAAATAAAAAAAAACATATGACGGCAACTTGCCCCACCGCCTTCGCGACGGCAGGGCCCCCGCCGGGATCCCCTCCCGCCCCGGCCCCGCCCCGGCCCCGCCCCCCGGGTCAAAAGGGAAAGAATGGGAAATGAACGAAGGCAGGGCCGTTACAAGTGAAACGAGGTTCTCGTCGTTGTCGTCGTCGGTTTTTTTTTTTCTTTTTTTCAGACTGGGGCCTTGGGCCGGGGCAGCGCTCTGTCGGGGTCTGGGTTCTGGCGTTCTTATTGTTCTTTTCGGTTTTTTTTTTGTTGACCGTTGGCGTGTGGTAATCTGGGGTGTTCTTGCAGGGCGCGAGTTTTTGCATTTCTTCCGTCTTTTCTGTTTTTTTTTTTTTTTTTTTTTTTTT